AAAATTTTTACTCGCCAGCGGGATTCGAACACCGGTGCATCGCTCAACACGAATGCAGCGGACGTCTTATCCACGTATCCTAGGCCACGACGACTTCAAATTGTTTTCTTAGTTTGTCGCTGGGCTTCCTCAGTTTGTCTGGATCCCGCTTGTGGAATCAGCAAAGCACTGCTCTTGCGTTTCTCTGTTAGCGAAGTCACTCAGGCTGAGCCCCGTGAGCTCCAGTAAAGATGAAGCCAGAATATCCCCCTTAAGACCACTGGCAGATAAATAGAAAATAAGTTAACAGAATAAATAATTAGAAATTTGTCAAGCGTCTTCAAAAAAGGAGGAGGTTCTCAATTCGACAGTATGTTTTTTTTAAGTTTGTTACCTCATAACTTTTGACTGGGTGAATCGATTTTGATTTGATTCTTTTTTTATTAGAAAGCTGACGCTTCCCGTGTGGGAAATTTAGTCTAGTTCTGATAATGGTATCCACGAGAAAAGCATATAAGTCTTAAATTTGCATTAAGTACGTGCGCGGCAAATAAGTAGATGAATAACTCAATATCACGCCAACCGATTTCGATGATTATTGTTTTTAGTGTATATATATATTTTTTTATATATATTTTTTTCTGTTTGAAGTCGGTTTTTGTTAAAGCATGTCTATTCACAATTATTATTTTCTCTATAGAAAGCTCGGGTACAGACCACGGCTGAACTTATTGAGGACTGGAAGACTAAGCATCGTGAAATTGAAAAGGATGCGACAATGCTGTATCCTTACGGGCCCCTTACTGAGGACCACGCTTACATTTCTACACAGCGAACTGAAGATACCAAGTAAAGAAGTTATTGTTATTAACGCGACTTGCTTGGTAGGAATCGTCACGTAACGAAAAAGCGTTATATGCCCTTTTATTCTCGCTCTCTTTCTCTCTCGCTGTGTCTTTATTGCACACGAGTTGAACGAAGTCGGTTGTATTAATGATAAAACAGGAAAGCCGGTGTGTTTGTACACTGCTAACTAAGCTTAATAGATTTTAAACCGGCGATTTTTTTGAATTATTTTCTATGCGTCTTAGAGTCAGTGAGAATGACGTTCAAAGATTTCATTACGCACAAACAAACACACAGTTAGCGCGCTATATATATTTCCTAGCATTAATCTTGTTTAACTGACAACGTTGCTTAGCAAACTTAGCTACAAGACTTACTTAATTGTACTAGAGGTCCCGCAGTAGTCGAAATTCGACTATAATTAATTGGAATTGTAAGTTTGTACACTATTATGATTGTATTTTCAACGTCAAGACTATACTATAGAAAAATATTAATAAAGACAAACATTATTTAATCTATTCTCAATTTGACAACAGACGTCAAGAACAAAAGTTTGACAATAAATAAATAGTATGCATGCGTGTGTGCGTCAAATACATGGTATGTAGTGTGTGTAATGTTTTCTTTATTGATTTAATGTAATTTTTATGCATTATTTTAAAAAAAATATTAGCATTGTGCACTTCTCCTTTATATTCTCTATAAGTGTGGAAAATTTCATACTTCTCCGTCCGCGCAATTTTCGTAAAAAGGGATACAAAGTTTTTGCTTCACGTATTAATATATAGATTTGATGTTGTGCGGTGTGTCTTCTTCTGTTTTTTAACCTTTAAGACAAAGTTAGGCAATCCAGGCGCCTTAGTAATTTTATTTATTTATTATTTAGTTTTTTTATTATTATTAATAATTTTCTTTATTACTTATTTAGTAATTAAACTTTAGTGGCCCATGGGCATCAGAAACTGTATACCGCCACTCGTATTGAGATATAAATTTCGAAGTCTCGAGGTGGTACCCTTACGAGCTTATGATACGTCCCAATATACCTTTTTTGGTAATAGGTAGACGAGGTTTCGGAATATTAGGTGCGCAAGCTCTAGCTCTTTGTTAATAGGTGATTACAGTAATAAGTTCCGATCGACTATGACAAATCTATATCTCTATATATAAAAATGAATTGCTGTTCTTTAGTCTCGCTAAATCTCGAGAACCGCTGGACCGATTTGGCTAATTTTGGTCTTGAATTATTTGTGGAAGTCCAGAGAAGGTTTAAAAGGTTTAAAAGGTTAAATATGAAAATGCTAGGAATTAAATAAAAATAACAATTTTGTTTTTCCTTTGATGTGTCCCCCGTCGGACGGATTCCTTTTGTTTGTTTTAAGTTTATTTTATACAAAAGTTTAGGTATTTTATTTATCGATTGAGGCATTACGAAGTCTGCCGGGTCAGCTAGTCTATTATAATCATAATTCATAATTATGAAATATATTTTAGGGAACGTTTATGGAAGCTTCGATGAGACATCAGATCGAAATTTCAACCGTATTGACCGATAATTCTTCCGGAAAATAGGATTTTTTTGCTTCAGACACACGCTATGGGATTCCAACAACCAATTCGAATACAAAATCGATTTAATACAACATGGACATCTCTTTTCGTCTTTAGCTCTAATGTAAACGAGCGAGAGCGCGGGAAAATAGGTCAATCTACCTCATGTCGTCCCTTACTGAATCACATAAAACAGTGTACGCGCGAAAAGGACGCCAAATAGTTCGATATGATTGATGCCAATACCGTCGTCTCTCTCTAGGGTGTACATAACGCTGCGGGTGCGAGAGGGAGCGGTGCTGGGAGTGCTCCCGGTGGTTTTGTTCGCGGAGTGCTGTCCTCAAACTTGCAAACTGTTTATTGATTTACTCCAAGGAGATGGGTTAGGTCATGGATACGTTGGGACGAAATTTTTCACGTGAGAATTTTAATACAAAAATATATAAGTATATACCTATATACTAGTCCTCCCTCGGTGGTCGAAATTCGACTATAATTAATTTAAATTATATGTTTGTACACTATTATGATTCTATTGTCAAAGATTATTATACTTCTATAATCAAAGACTTCGCTAAGACCACACTTTAGACAAATATTAATAAGACAAACAATTTGACCACAGAAAGCAATAAGAAAAGTTTGACAATAAACAAATAGTATGCATGCGTGTGTGTGTCTAATACATGGTAGTGTGTGTAATGTTTTCTTTATTGATTTAATGTATCTTTTATGCATTATCTTAAATGAATATTAGCGTTGTGCACTTCTTCTCTATATTCTCTATATGTGTGGAAAACTTCATACTCCTCCGTCCGCACAATTTTCGTAAAAAGGGATACAAAGTTTTTGCTTCACGTACCTATTACTAAATAGGTAGATATCGAAAAGTGAAAGGAACCTGAAGAAACACTAAATAAAACAAATCGCACAAATTCACTCCTCGCGTTCCCGCCAAAAAGTCCTTTCTTCGCTAAATGACAGACAGGTGAGTGAGTGATTCCGTCTAAGAAAAAACTTTTTAAAAACTAAAAAGTTTTAAAGGTTTTAAATAACCACTACAAGTTTTTCTTTATTTCGGTATATTATATTTTGTATGTCAGAATAAGTTTAGATATAGATAAGTGAGGTATATGTACGCTATATAGATTAATGATTAGATAATTATGCTGAGCATTGGTAAAGGCTTCGTCAAACAGAACGCGTACATAGCGCCGCGTACTTAACGTCGCGCTCTTCAAATTGACTAGATGAGTCTAACGCTCCATGACGCAACGCATTCGCCAAATCATAGTGCCTTTCGATAGCAGTGTGAAAATTTAAAAGTATTAAGAAATCGAGTGATTCAGATGTGGCATTGTATAAGCATGGGTATTTTCTAACTATTTATATCATTTTTTCGGGCATTATCTAGTATTTTAATACACATTCACCCGGAGGCTAAAATAAAATTTGTAGAAAATTACAACGCCTGACGTCAAAGCGTCCTAACGCCGCGACAGAGGTTGCGTACTTATAGCGCTGGGGCTCTGTTTGATGGTATGTTACCATAGTAGTACAACACATCTCGGCGTCATAGCGTGGCGTCAGTTTAGCGCTCTGACGCGCGCTAATTACGCGTTCTGTTTGACGAAGGCTTAAAGGAGGTTATAATATTTAACTCTAATGCGACTATATTTCTTGACGGATTGTGTGCGACTGTATTATTTGACGAGTTATATTCGACTGAATTCGTAATGGCTTATTACATTGTAATACTACATGCATGATCAGGGTGCTTAGTGCGAGCTTTTTAACTATCTCGATAGAGTAATAGTTAACTCAAATTTGTATGAAGTAGGAACGTTAGCCGCTAGGGGAGCTTTTTTTTTTTTTTTATTGCCCTTGTAAGTAAACGAGCATACGGCCCACCTGATGGTGAGTGGTTACCGTCGTTCATGGACTTCAGCAATGCCAGGGGCAGAGCCAAGCCGCTGCCTACCGCTTAATACTCTCCACAAGCCTCGTTTGAAGAAGGACATGTCATAGCGCTCGGGAAACACCGTGGAGGGGAGCTCATTCCATAGCCGGATGGTACGTGGCAAAAAGCTTTTTCCAGTTCCATACAAATTTGAGTAACTTTTACGCTATCGAGAACGTTAAAAAACTCGCATTAAGCACACAGATGACTTTAGCGGGCGCACTAATTATAAACAGGCGTAGCAAAATTTGGTGTTTCGTATTTTTCAAAATGACACATTGTCCCTTAATTTCCCCCTTAATTGTGTAGTGATGAGGTTTCCAAAAGTTCTTCTTTACCGAAAGCGTTCGAAGCATCACTATCAATTATTACACATCGTTCAATGTTCTCATCGTATTTTATGACACACAAATATCCTATCGGGAGACGTAAATGTTAACAAAAAATACAAAATTTTCCCCGACAAAGATTATATACGCAAACTCTTTTGGCATTTTGCGAATCGTTATTATCAAACGTCAAACAGGACTTCAAAATCAAAATGCTACTATACTAATACTCATATTGTGTTCAAAATATATTCTTTTCGAGCTTGTGGGTGTTCCTAAGGTTATCCACACGGTAATAGCTGATCAAGAGGTCTGAGACTGATCCTCACGCGATGCTCGTACCCGATACCGGTCTGAGTAACGAGATCCTAGTCAAGGTCATCAGTCCCGAAGGGCAGACGTACGTGGCGAACTTCCAAGAGAACACCCTTATAGAAGAGGTGAAGTTGAAAGCCATCGGTCATTTCTATCCCGACGGAGAAACCAGTTTGGGGCGATACAAAATAATTCGCGTACTCGACGCTAAGACCCTACATGAGTTCCTGACGCTTTTCCAAGAAGAAATCACTACACAGGAGGAACTAATGCTTGTTGAGAGGCGGATACCGGACGCGGGAGCGCTGTGGGATCTTGGGGCGGTCAGGGCGCCGCAACAGAGCACTATAGCGGCAGTCACGGCCTCATTACCGACCCCACAGAGCACGGTGAGGCAACCTAACCTACAATCATTGTTATCGACAAACGAACTATCCTTCGAGCTACGAAAGATCCTGATATCCCTCATCGAAGCCGGCGCAAGACTGGCGGCGGCCGGCCGTAATTACGAGTCGTCTTTGGCTCAACTCTGCGCGGCTCTGGACCAGCCGAGGAGAGCTCAACAGACCCTGATTCAAGTGATTACTCCAGAAGAAATAGCGGCCCGACTCAGCGAACAACAATCGCGCGAAGAAGAACCCTCGACCTCTGAGAAATCGAACGCGAACGACCTATACGAGCGAGCCGGACATTTGCAACGGTTTTTGGAGAAGTTTCGAGAATGGAGGGTCAAGATCGCCGATCCTCCTACTCCGGAAGCGATGGCCGCGTTGATGGACCTGGGTTTTTCACACGATGACGCAGATAGAGCGTTGAGGAACACGGGGTGTAATGTGGCCGCCGCTGCTTCTTGGCTGGTCGGGGATAGGGGGTCAAGTGTCTTTGAGTTAGTAGACGGCCTGCCCGATGGTCCTATACTGCAATCTTTACTAAAGCAGCCTCAGATCCAACGAGGTCTGCTCAATACGAGGATGCTGATAGCTTTCATAGCCATGGTCGGTCAAAGCGGAAGCGCGACGCTGTGGCTGAACTCTCCTCACGGGAGTCCGCTGCTGTCTCAAATCTCGAGAACATATCATTCCGAGAAGTACTGCTCGGCCGTGAATCAGTTCTCGAACGAGATGGAGCAGATTAATCCGTCGACTTCTAGAATGTGACGTTTTTTGTTTTTTTTTTAAATTGTGATTGCATTGTATCAATAAAAACTTAATAATGTAAGTTTTTTATTCATTTTATTGTTAAGTCGGGTAGACGTGCTCAGGGCTCGCCTGGTGTTAAGTGGTAACCCACCTTGAGACATGAGCCCTAATCTCTAGTACGACGCCTGCCCCAGCCTTCGAAACGAAACGCATTACTGCTTCACGGCAAAAATAGGCAGGGTGGTGGTACCTACCCGCGAGGACTCACAAGGCGCTCTACTATCAGTGAATTAATTGACTAAGTCAATTGTTAGTGACAATTTAACACAAAATTACATAAGATAAAGTCGCACAACTATAGAATGACAAAGTTAGCATAATGCCACGGTCCCCCCGGCCAGACGGGGACGCCGGATGGGTGACCGCGAACTCGGCCTGACGTAGCTTTCTTAATAAAATTTAGTAAAACTTTTCAATTTCATGTAACTACAATCTATCTTTCATGTAATATATTATCTATCAAAGCTAGATTATATATTATATATACACAGCCCACTGAGTTTCTCGTCAGAGCCAAATATATGAAATTATTCTTTTTAATGACAAACTAAAACTTTTTATTTATTGTTAAGATGGGTGCACGAGCTCACGGCCCCCCTGGTGTTAAGTGGTTGAGATATGGGTGCTAATGTAATCTCGCCGGATCTTCTCAGTGGGTCACAATTCCGATCCGGTAGTAGATTCAGTGAAGCACTGCTCTTGCTAGGGTTAGTGTTAGCAACGTCCTCAGGTTTGAGCCCCGTGAACCGCTGCAGTGAAGTTTCATTTTTTTTTTATTGCTTACATGGGTGGACGATTTCACAGCCCACCTGGTGTTAAGTGGTTAATGGAGCCCATAGACATCTACAACGTAAATGCGCCACCCAACTTGAGATATAAGTTCTAAGATCTCAGTATAGTTACAACGGCTGCCCCACCCTTCAAACCGAAACGCATTACTGCTTCACGGCAGAAATAGGCGGGGCGGTGGTACCTACCCGTGCGGACTCACAAGAGGTCCTACTACCAGTAATTACGCAAATTATAATTTTGCGGGTTAGATTTTTATTGCACGATGTTATTCCTTCACCGTGGAAGTCAATCGTGAACATTTGCTGAGTACGTATTTCATTACAAAAATTGATATTAGTATAAGATCAGAGCAAAACGAGCCGGGTTTTTCTTCTGAAAATTGTACCCTAAGAACATTACATCGAGAGGTGAAAGGCTATTTGGTTTAAGCGACATTTATCTTTGTAATTAAAGGTCCAGTTTATTTTGTATTAGCGTCAACAATTCGACGATTTTTAATTGAACTTCAATAATATTTATCACATTCAATTAGTTAAAAAGATTTGTTTTGTCATGATATTTTTTCGTATTAAACTTTAAATGGCTCTCATGTAAACTTGCAAAAATGTTGCTTAAACCAAATAGCCTTTAACCCGTTGACATGTATGAAAATTATTTCTGATCATTTTTACATAAAAAAAATTTCAGGTAATTCTGCCGTGCGAGACTTTTGAAGTGATTCGCGGCTTAGGCGCCCCGCTCAGCTCGCGTCCGGTGGTGGAGATATCGGCGGCAAAACACCGCGTCGACAACCGCTGGGTGTACGGAAAGCCTAATAGTAGAATTAAAAACTGATGTACGATTTATTTTCCAATAATAAAGATATGTTTGTCTTCGTGGATTTTTTTTTATCAAAATCGAAATTATAAATTATAAAAAGAACAAGTGCATAAATATTTCGCATCTGTAACGGTGATCTCAAAAACTAAAATACGTATTCTTTTGACAAAAGCTCACGTGTGGCATATACACCAATATACAAGTTTTGACTAGTTAGCTATGTCTATGAAAGATAAAGGCCCACTGACTTCCTCGCCGGATCTTCTCAGCGTCGCGATTCCAATCCGGTGGTAGATTCTGCGAAGCACTGCTCTTGCTAGGGTCAGTGTTAGCATCACTCAGGTTTGAGCCCCGTGAGCTCACCTACACACGTTAGGGCGAAGCTGAAATAGCCTCTCAAGGCTATCAGCATAGGTAGGAAAAAAAAGACGTCGGAATAATTTAAAATTTGAATACGCATCAAGGAAGGATGAAAGTGCAAAAATGTTATACTCTAACCAGAGTGCTTAGTGCGAGTTTTTTAACGCTTTCGATAGCGTAAAAGTTAACCCAATTTTGTATGCAGTTGGAACAGCGCCCCTAGCGGCAAACGTACGCAAACGATCCCATTCCATACAAATATGAGCTAACTTTCACGCTATCGAGAACGTTAAAAAGCTCGCACGAAGCACACGGAATTACAAAGATAAAAAAACGTAAAAATGTAAATGGGAATAAAACGACTGCCTTTTTTTATTGCTTATACGTGTGGACGAGCTCACAGCCCATCTGGTGTTAAGTGGTTACTGGAGCCCATATACATCTATAACGTAAATGCGCCACCCACCTTGAGATATAAGTTCTAAGGTCTCAGTATAGTTACAACGGCTGCCCCGCCCTTCAAACCGAAACGCATTACTGCTTCACGGCAGAAATAGGCGGAGCGGTGGTACCTACCCGTGCGGACTCACAAGAGGTCCTACCACCAGTAAAACGTGACATAGAGACTTTACCTACCACCAGCACACATTACTACTTCACAGCAAAAATAGGTAAGAGTGAATTGAGTGTGTCGTGATCTCTTTCAGCTGGTTCCGCAATGAACAAAACCCCCACTCTCAAGTGTAGTGATCTTTCGGCCATTTAACCTCGTGACTGGCCATAGAGCTCAAATAAGCATGAAGGCATTAAAAATAATACACAAATACAGTTATAATTATTTTAATACCACAAAAAAACAATTGTAAACGAAATCTGAAGCATCATTTCAGTCTTATAATATTATGTTCTCTGAAAGGGATATTTTCGCTTTTGAAAATGCCACACGACATACGACTTTTCGATTCTGAATGTCTAACATATATCGCTTCCTTTTCTTTATTTAAATATGACAAGGGGCTTGCGACGCCATTTTTGCCAGTGTCAAGTTTTTTCAAAATCTTTACATAATTTTAAATATAGTTTTTTAACTTCTAATTAAAATGTATTCACTTTAAATTCAATCGTTTATAGAATTTCAAGAATTTTTTTCAATTATATGTTTTCAAGTCAAGTTAAATTTAATGAAACGAGTTGAGATGTTGAAAATTATGGTCTCAGTAAAGCAGTGGTTATTTGCCGAAACTTTTTCAGTGGACTTTTTGGACGAACCTGGGAGCTCTAAGCGCAAAGCCGATCACACTCACATATCAATTTCGTTTCAATCTCATACAGCCTTACTTAAATACCTAACCATTTCATGTTTTAGTGATCACCCGGCCGGTCGAAATTCGACTTTATTAAATTGAAATTATAAGTTTGAACATTATTATGGTTTTACGGTCACATTACTATAATCATTGTTCTACAATCACAGATTTTGCCAAGGCTACACTAAAGACAAATATTTTTAAAGGCAAAGAATTTTAGTCTATGTTCAATTTGACCAGACTTTTAATAACCAAAATAAATTATGTAGGAATATGCGTGTGCGTGTTAAATACGTGCTAGTGTGTGTAATGTTTTTATTTATTGATTTTATGTAATTTTACATTCTGCATTCTTTCTCTATATTCTCTATAAGTGTGGGAAATTTCATACTTTTCTGTCCGCGCAATTTTCGTAAAAGGAAATATAAAGTTTTTCTTTCACGTATTAATATATAGATTAACGTAGAGGTCATTGAATGAATAGGACATTTTTAAACGCAAACTTCTCTATAAACATTGTTTATTCTAAACACTATAACATTAGGTTTAATTTTCGTTGTATAGTTTTTAGAAAGAAAGAAAATACAGTCATATATAGAGCCAAACACAAATCGCCAAGTGGTTACCGTCGCTTGCAGACATTGTCAATGCCAGGGGGCTCAAACGAACCCTAAGCTACAATCAGACAAGCTCACAGTCCGGCGATTGTTATGCGGTTACCAGAACTTATAATCTTAGATTCCGTAGCCATCGTCTTTAAGAAAAAGAAAAAAAAACTTTAACAACATTCAACTTTCTATATAAAACCAAAAATGTTTCTCGTTTAGAATCAAAGCGATCAAAGGCCATATTTGTTTATTGACTTTTTAATATCACAAACATATTTTTTTTGTAATCTTCATATACCAAGGAGTTCAGAGTCACGGGTCTTGTTCTTAAGATACTTGAATATTCTCCTGTAAGAAAAATAATTACATCAATAATGGCATGTTTAAAACCAAAAGTGGTAGGATCTCTTGTGAGTCCGCACGGGTAGGTACCACCACCCCGCCTTTTTCTGCCGTGAAGCAGTAATGTGTTTCGGTTCGAAGGGTGGGGCAGCCGTTGTAACTATACTGAGTCCTTAGAACTTATATCTCAAGTTGGGTGGCGCATTTACGTTGTAGATGTCTATGGGCTCCAGTAACCACTTAACATCAGATGGGCTGTGAGCTCGCCCACCCATCTAAGCAATTAAAAAAAATAAAAATGAGGTATGTGGAAAAAATAATTTGTTCAGTTTAGTCTCTGCTCATCAGATCGTTCTCATGTTGCTCTAAGTTTTGACAAAATTTTTATGACAGGCCATCTGCTTGACCTCGACCCTCCTTAGGAATGCTTTTGTTGACCTTGGATCTAAGGCTTTTGTCATACTTTGGTTCTCAAAATCACACAATGAGATTGTTAAGAGAGTTTTACCTATGACCGTGGAAGGCTTTAGAGGAAGAAGTTAGATCTAAGAAAAAATGTATGGATTGCGTGAAAGATGATATGTCATTGTGTAAGTTTTTTTTTATTGCCTTCGTAAGCAGACGAGCATACGGCCTACCTGATGGTAAGTGGTCACCGTCGCTTATGGACGTCAGCAATGCCAGGGGCAGAGCCAAGCCGTTGCCTACCATAAATAAAGCGGAGGGGAGTGAACGAAGAAATTGTTTATGATAGAGGAGTATGGAAGGAGAATTGAAAAATAGACCGCCTTCCACCATTTTTTACAAGTTCGTGGGTGGTGTTCTTACGTGTAGCTTCTGTTTGCGCACGTTTAAGAACAAGATAGGCTACCGTAGCCATATTAGGGCGCATGAGAGGCGCGGACATTAGCTTTTAAGTTATTGAACTGAAAATTTTGGTCGCCGTTGCCGAAGCCGGCTTGGCTCCATGATCATGGGAGGAGAAAACATGTAGCACAGACCACAGGTGACTGGACGAAGGGCAGGAGAATGATTGATAAGTATCGCTCACCAGATCGTCCTGGGCACGTGTCCCCAGTCGGGCGTGAGTCTGGCGACGACACGTGTCAGGTCGGGGCACGTGTCGGCCAGCACGGCGCGCACGTGCACGTCGGCGGCGCGCGGCCACGGCACTTCGCGCGCGTCCCCCACCACCAGCTCCATGCGGAGTGACACCTCCCACACAGAGCGGAGGGGCACATTCGCCACCTGGATAATAAACATTTTAACTCAGATTAACGAGGTCAGTGCTCAATACGAGGATGCTAATAGCTTTCATAGCTTGAAATTTTGTTACTGGTGGTAAGACGTCATGCGAGTCCGCACGGGTAGGTTCCATCGCCCCGCCTCTTTCTGCCGTGAAGCATTAATGCGTTTCGGTTTGAAGGGCGGAGCAGCCGATGTTACTACACTGATGCCCGTATCTTTAGACGTTTCGTAAAATAGTCCTCCACTCTAAGCTCATCCGATGATGCTCGAATATTCCTCCCAAACTTACTCGAGTTTGGTATTTTTAGTCGAACATTACAATATTCCTCAACTGTCCTCGAGTGAGGTAGAAAGGTGCTATTGCGTCACCACGACAACATCAGTTTGAGGAAAATTTGATCAAGCTAGCATCAAACCTACAGAGTTCTGTAGTTTATGGTCATTGCTTAATGTCAAAGTCAAGCTACCACTGTCTGTTTGACACTAGACGCACCGAACTTGTTTGATGTTTTAGTTGAGAGACTCATAAATACGTGCGCGTGCGGTGAAATAGAAGGTTTTCGTTTTTCTAACCCATGATTAATAATTTAGATTTCGGTTTTTGAATAATAGCTCCTCCAGGAACCCGGCTTTGTATTTTTATTCGCTGTTTCTTNTATTGATACGTCAATACAGATTTATTTGAATATAATCGTCTCCTTCAAAGAATACGGTTCAAAACCTGCATTAAATAAAGGTTAATAGTTAACCTGTTATTTATCTAAGATGTCGTTCCGAAGAGTTTTGTGACTGCCAATGGAATACAAAGTCAATAATTCGTTTTTCTGATTTACCAATCATTGTCCAAAAGTCAGAATGCCGCCTTTGATAATAGTCGACTCATGTATAAGTCGTCGCGGCCTAAAAGATAAGACGCCCGGTGCATTCGTATCGATCGAGCGACGCAAAGAGTGCTGGTGTTCGAATCCCATAGTCGGGTACCAATGGACCATTGATTAATTAGTTGTTATTTAAATAAATGATTTGTGAAAATATAGCCCTATTTAAAGAACTGCTTTTTTTATTTCATTATAGTCCTTTTTGACAATAGGAAATTTATCGCTTTTAAATATGACAATATCTTTAGTACAGTAAATAAAACGGAGCCATTGCCTGAAGAAAAATCAACATGTGACATATTATTCCTTTCAGCCTAAGGTTTATAGGTACCACCACCCTGTCTATTTCAGCCGTGAAGCAGTAATGTGTTTCGGTTTGAAAGGTGGGGCAGCCGTTGTAACTATACTCAGACCTTAAAACTCATATCTCAAGGTGGGTGGCGGCATTTACGTTGTAGATGTCTACTCCGCTCCGGTAACCACTTAACACCAGGTGGGCTGTGAGCTCGTCCACACATCTAAACAATAAAAAAAAAAACTTGCCGCGTCCGTCAAAGACGCCGACTTGTTCAAAGAAATCTAGCCATCTTTAACGAAGATATTGAAAAATATTGATTTTTGCTAAAAAAAAAAAGTGACAAGAAAAATTATAATGGAATGAACCGACATTTCGCTTTCGCTGGAGTGAATTTTCTCTAATAAGTAAAAAAAGTCACAAAATCAAAGTAGTATTTGTAGACGAGACATGGCTAAACACCATTCATATTGTATCCAAAGCTTGGACCGATGATACTGCACAATCAACCACCAAACTACCCGAATGCTAAAGTCAAAGATCAATTATCACTTCATGTTAATTATCACACACACACACACACACACAGTCTTTTCAATGTAGGCAATTCGCGCCGTATATGTATAGTAACCATATATATTGTTGCGAATCCCAGCAGTCAGCGTCAAAGTAGTCAATATTTGTGACAAGAGTTTCGACTATTGCGAAACCACTGGTACCGTAAAATGGGGCGATTCGGGACAAATTCCAACTTTATGACCAATTTTAAGGTAGTTGTTGATGTATATAATGCTATATCAGGATCAAAATGATTGAGTCTTGGGGGCATCTTTGTTGTCTAATTTAAAATTATGCAACTAACATTCCAGTTTAAGCAAAAAATGCAAAAATAGGTGTAATCCCTATTTACCCGAAAATTGCGGTTAATTGGGACGAAATNAATTGCCTGTTGCGTAAAATCTCAAAGCAATTAGCACTTGTAATATCGGCGTTAAAGGTAGTCCACGATCGTTTTCATTAATGTTGTTAGTCAACAAAGGCAGCAAAATATGCACAACCGAATCTTTGCTAAGCCGGTAACGTTTTCGGAATTCGTCGTCATCGTAAACTTCCAACGGGTTATCTGCATCTCTCAAATACCTTCGCGACGGATAATTATACACTCTGCTATCAAAAATATAGTTAATAAATTCTTCAAAACTGCTCTCAGAAGTCATCTTGTATTAAACGCTGTTTTGAGGAACGTTCAAGGTACGTCGCGACGTACCTTAACTTGACAGTTCGGTCACTTCACTCCGGTTAGGAAATTTTTCCAAGGACGTTTGAGTGGAGTTTATTTTTACGACTAATCATACCAAAACGCGCGTTGGAGGTTGAGTCGAGTCGAGTTACGCTCGTGTGAACGACTAAAGATACGGGTGTGAGACCTTAGAACTATCCTTACACTACTTATTATCTCAAGGTGGGTGGCGCATTTACATTGTATATGTCTATGGGCTCCAGTAACCACTTAACACTGGGTGGGCTGAGAGCTCATCTACCCATTTAAGCAATAAAAAAAGTGTGTGTGTACAAGTCACACACGGTAGAAGTGAAACTTCAAGCACACACTTGTTTTTTCGTTTCGTTTCATTTCCTTTCATCGAGTTTGAAATCACAACGATACTACAGAAGTTTCACTTCAAAAAAACCTCAGCATCTTTGTTTCATCAGCAACTTTTACGCTATCGAGTACGTTAACTCTCACCTTCAACGTGAGTCGTCCGTCGTCGGCGAGCGCGTACGCCAGCCTCGCCCGCGCGTCCTGCATGGCGCGGCCCCACTTGAGCGCGACGCGGGCGACGCCGCAGCAGCGCCGCAACAGCGCCGGCACCCCGCCCGCCGCGCCGCACCCCCGGTTCGTGAAGTACCGCATCGTCTCGGCCGCGAACCGGACGCACGTCGCCGCCACCGGATTCCTCTTGTCTGTGGAAGAGAAAACAAAAATCGAATATATAAAAAAAAAAGTTTGAAGTGTAACTTCTAATGCGACTTCCAACAAAATTGCTTTTTGACGTGACAACGAGGCCAACGAACAACGAGCGACAAAGAAGCGCAAACGGCCTCCGCGTTCGGCAGCGTTCGACATCTGTCTCTCTCCAACTTGAGTGAACGATGCATCCGCGTGGACAGCTGCTATACAATAATACATTTACATGTTTTCGTCAAGTATGAAGTTCAGTTGCTAACACGAACCCTAGCAAGAGCCGTGCTTCGAGCCGTGTTTCGAAGAATCTACCACCGCATCGGAAACGCGACCCACTGAGAAGATCCGGCGAGCAACTCAGTGGGCTGTGTCTGTGGGTTAATTCACTCGTCGAGCCCTTCGTCGCAAGCGACGGGTTTGACGAGGACGGTGACCGGAATAATATGTATGTGTTAGCGATAATTATATTGCAGTGATGTTACGTCAGTCTCGGGATTGTCCGGCTGTCGATAGCACGATAGGTGGTAATCCCAATATACGTTAGTCACTCAACTGAACACGTATCTTATTAATCCTTGCCCGATATAGAGACTCAACACGTTATTACGTACCGTGATGAATCACATCCACGGCGAGTGCTTCAACGGGAGTGTCAGCCCTCACCCTGGTCCGGGTCGAGTTGTGTACGGTGTGACGCAGCTTCACCGTGAGCCTCACCCGGGAGTACAGCAGGAGGAATGTCCACACGTCCGAACCGGACGTTTCCCATATGCACTCCGAAGCGTTGCTGAAATGAAAAATAAATTATAAAATAATAAGCTTTTATCGCGGGCTTTGAGTGCGGCGACCGAATCAAGAAATTCCGTAACGAAAATAAAACCTAACACTCCGCCTACCATGTACCTCGCGTTCAACACATTCACACGTTGCGCTTGTGTAGTGTTTGTGAATAAGCGCGCGGCGTGACGTCGCACTGCATGCGCGTCATGAAAAGTCTGCCCATCTCTCTCTCTCGCGCGCTCTAGCTTATGAGTGAGAAAGGAGCAATTATAAGCAAAATAATAATGCTTTTGTTAATGTTTATAAATAAAGCGTGGTCTTATTTCATTAATATTTTAATATTAATAAAACGCTTTTTTTACAATAAAATCATTTTTTCTGACACTATTTTTAATTCAAATTTATTAAAATTTATTTTCTATTGTTTAGTTGGATTTTCTATAAAAGCGTATTTTTTAGTTTTTTTAAACTATTATTTATTTTTCTTTTTTTAATTGAATTTCAATTTTTTCAAAAAAAAAAGTTTTCATTTTTTTTTTAATATTGTACTCTCATCGGTCCTTAATAAGTATACCAAATTTCGAGTTAATCCGACGTTTTGAAAGGGGTCAAAATCATGTTCAGAGATTCCGTTATAAACATACATACACACGTCTGCGTATAAAGCATATTAAAAATTAGAATAAATCTACAAAGTTTGAATGAAATCTGGCCGTTTAAAGTGGGTCAAAATCTCGTCTAAAGGAGTCAGTTACAAACATACAAACATACATACAAGTGAAGCTAATATAAAGCGTGTAAAAGGCGAATATTCTTACCCGATGAAGGGCAGCATTTCAATCTTTGTTACAACGTTGTGACTGGACTCGCATTCTGCTACCAAATTCTTGCTGCTCGCGTCGCTCAGAAGCTCCGGGGACAAGTCGACCCTGAGGCAGCTACTCCTCGAGCTTCCGTCGAATGGCTCGCTGCTTTTACCACCATCATCACTGTTCACCATCGACTTGCAAGTCTTCGCCGAACTGCACACGGAATCTACGGAAAAACATTCCGAAGCATCGCCATTCAACTGTTTCCTTGGAGACGCCTTCTTGGCTTTACTCCTTTCGTGTGTTTTATTCTCAATCGGGGACACTTTTTGCAATTTCGTGGCGCGTTTCGGAGTCACATCCGGACTCGGTCTGCCTTTGTCACGTCCGGTCGGACTGTATATACGTTTTTTCGGTTTAACTTTACCGTCCGCCGTGACGACGGACTCAGTGTGACAAGTTTCTCCGCTGCTCTTATCCACTAAAGTCAGGGAGGAGCTGGCATTGAGCAAATCTTTGTTATCCTTCATAGCTATGACGGTGTTCGCTTCTGTTGTTTTCATTGCTGTCTTTATAGTGTCCGTAGATTGGTTCACCGATGGCCGGCTAGCATTGGACACTGTTTCCTCGACTATCTTCGCGCAAGCGTCGCCGGAATGTTTCACCGTGTGAATCAATTTCTCAACGTTGTATTGTATGGATACGCGTTCGACTTCAAAGTCTTTTTCGTGTAGCGAAATCTGCGCGGAATTCGTTCGTTCCGAGACGCATAAAGATACCTCAGATTTGATGGGATCGTATTTGTGGGCTTTCGTATCAGCAACGGGCATAAGTAACACATTGTTCAGCGGATTGGTGTGGTCAAACAATAACACCTTTCCTGGAACCGTTTGGTCTTTGGCACGCTGCTTTTGTACAATCATTTCCTTTTCCGAGGGAACCGTCGTAAAACTTTTAATCGGATTCTTTAGTATCCGTGATATCGATTGGTTAGCAACTTCCGATACGTCGATTATGGGTTTCGGTGAATTACAAATCGACATGGGCCCCGAATACAGCTCAGCATTAACGTCATTAACGTCAACTTGACTTGTTGTTGTTAGATTGACTTGTATCTGAGCGCTGCAGGTCGATTCCGAAGTTGTTGGGAGCTTATCTTTCACTGCTATTGGTATCATATCAGCTGCGGGTTTAACTAAATCGTCCATCAGCTCTTTTATATCATCAGAAACTTCGTTCAAGTAGCCCGGTATGACTTTGGCTTTACCATCTCTAGCTAGAGTCGTTTCGCCTAAAAGACTTTTCTTTAACGGCGACAACTGATCACATTTCATATTAACTTCACTGAAAGTGTCGTCTTCTTCGAAGTTCAGCGTCTTCACGACCTCCCCGCTGACTCTGGTCGGCTTCTTTTCTGGCGATATTGTCGGCTCGTTTGTCGTATCTCTCGTCTCGTCGTCCAGATATTCGCTGTCGTCATCTATTTCGTATCTGGATTGCTGCAGAGCGGCCTGTGCCATTGAGATGTTGCTCAGCAAATTCTCTCGACTGAGAGCAATCGATTGACGTTTAGGCAAAAGACTGAGGCGTCTCATTTCGTTTATTTCTATCTTCTCTTTGACCGCTTGTGCTGGTTTCACTTCGGTCTCATTACACGCCCGACTATCAGTGTAATCAGACAATATGCGTATTAAATCGTTTGTATCGTCAGCTGTTCTAACGCTCTTTCGGTTGTCAGTTTTGTTTAAATCGGACGTAGCTTCAGTTAATTTTGTTTCAATATCGTCTTCGTCTTTGACCGGCAATCGTTTGCGTTCCATTGCGGGGCTGTGTTCATCGATCTGCCGCAGTTTCGCTTTAATTAAATCTTCTTCTATTGTTTCTGCCTTCTCGACATCAATGACTTGATTGTCTCTTGTTATGTAGAAGAGGCTACTAGTGGACATGTTTTCGAGTTCATTTTTCGTGGCAAGTTCCAAATTCGAGTCGACCGCTATGACTACTTCTTCCTCTTCATCGAATTTCGGATCGATCTTATGAGTGACGCGCACGGCGTCTGTTGACGATGCGGACATATCCAATAACTCGTGGAGTATCGACTTTTCAGATTTTCTATTCGATGTCCGCTTTAAAACTTTACTCTCCGATTCTAAATTCGAATTTTTGTGAACAAGATCACAAGCCAGGTCGTCTTTCGGGACAAAAGATTCTTTATCATCAGAATATTTTATGTCAACACTTTGTCCCGCTACTCGATCGCTTCTAGCGTCGCCCTGTTCAATTTTATTCTGTAACTCGTCACCAGCAGTTACGGCTTGGTAGAGGTTCACATCACGAACGATCGGAAGTATATCATCGAAATTTTCAAAAACTTTAATCGATTTATCTGATTCTTTATCCATATTATCTTTGTGCAGCGCGAGCATCATCGCTGGTATCGGCTTCGTAGCTTTAGCTTCATCTTTAGTTGATTCTGCAAGGCTATTAATAAATTTCCTTATAGGCGCTTTTTCGTCTTGTTCTATTAGAATTTCACGTTTATCATCATTTTCAAATTCGTCATATGGCTCAAGCGGATTTTCACAATCGACTACAGCACCATTTTTGTTCATTCCTTCGTTATCAATTGCATTAAGTGCGACTCCTGTTTTCGAAATATTTTCAGTACAATTTTTGGAAGGTATCTCTTGTATCAATATAATGTTATTCGGTATCGCTTGGGTAACTGATAAGTTTCGAGAGTCATCGTCGAAAACTATTGTCTTTCTTTTTGCGTGCACTATAGTTCCACGAGCCGCCTGAGTTATTGACATGTTAAACGAATCATCAATAGTCTTTGCGTCTTCGTAATTCAAACTTCTGTCATTATTTTCAACATCTTTACGTAGATAACCAACAGGAGAAGTATTTTCGTTAGGTTTTGAGCGATTCCGATTCAATATTTCACTAACAATTGTACTGGGTACAACTTCTGTTATTGAAATATCTTCAGTGCATGCTGCTTTGTCGGGTTTTTCTTGTGTAATAATCACGTTATTCGATATGGCTTGGGTCACGGACAGATTCCACGAATCATCAAACACTACCGTCCTCCTGTCCGGGTTAAATATTTTCCCTCGAGTCGCTTTCGTTATGGACATACTAAATGAATCATTGGTCACGGTTTCGCCTCCATCTTCCGGCAACATCGTTTTACGTTTTCCTAAATCGCCATCTTGTTTTATTACGGTTTTACGCTTTTCACTGTTACCAAAATCTTTACAACTTCCGAAATCATTTTCGTTGGAAACGATAAAACTTTTGTTCTTTCCGTCCTCATCAATGGCACTAGACACAATTCTATTTTTTGAAATATCTCCAGTGCATAGTTTGACAGGTTTTTTTTCAATCACAATCACATTATTCTTTATAGCTTCAGTGGGTACTGAATTCCCAGTCCCGGCATCGCACATTGCTGTCTCCTCTGCAGCGAGTATTATGCCTGGTGCTGCTCTGGTTATTGACATATTAAAAGAGTCAGATGTAGGTCCTTCGAATATTATTGTTTTACGTTTTTCTGATATTGTTCGCTCTATAAGCGCAGTGGGTAATGCTTGGGTTACTGACATGTTCCCAATATCAGCATCAAAGTGGATAGTCTTCCTTTTTTCTGGATTGTTGTCCAAAGTCACAAGATTGGGCAGCTTTTGGGCGCTGGGCTCGTCACAATAAATAACTTCATCGTCAAAACGTCGTAAGATTGATTCCTTATCAATTTCATGAGCATATATTATGTTATCAGGTATGGCTTCAGTTACAGACATGTTCCCGGATTCATCATTACATAAAATAGATCTTTTTTCTATTTCACTGCTTTTTATAGCAAATGTGTCTTTGTCTTTAGTTCTGTTTAGATTAGAGATGATCTGTATGTCATCCGTGAAGTTAGGAAGAGCATCATTAAGATTCAATAGTATTGATTTTCTTTGAGGCATTCCCTCCGTCGGCATGTTAGGTGGTTGAGTTTGTCTGTAGTCACACTCAGCTCTGTCTGATTGTAAAGTAAGCCTTTTTCCGTCAAATACTAAAACACCTTCACTTTCCTCGTTAACAGCTAAATTGGTTGATGCTTGTAGAGATTGTGGCACTACATAAGGATTTACAACTATATTCTCTTTGTCGACCAGCCAATCGTTATCTACTGTAATTTTCCTTTCACTTTGCATAGCTTTTTGAACTTTTGGCTTCTGCAAATTATCTCTCGTCGTCTCATTGGATTGAACTTTACCTACCGCACGTGTCGTATTTAAATCAATTTCAATATATTCTGAAACAGATCTGCTGTCAAATGGACCCTGACAGAGGGCATTCGACTGTACCCTCACCAAATCTTTCTCGATTTCACTCAAATCGTCATCCTCCCTCAACGGTTGGACCATAGAAAAATTAACGTCAATCCGACCGGACATTATTCCCATTGTGGGGACGCTAACCTCATCTTTGAACAGTTTGCTGTTGTGATCTGTGAAAGCGCTCAATTCGAAATTACTGACCGGAACTTTTAAATTTCTGTCGTCACTCGTACATTCCAGTGACGCAATTTGCTGCGTGAAGTTCCCGTTCAGTGACTGATCAACGAAGATTCCTGATGGATTATTTATGGCCCCCGTAAAGCCCACAGCTTCAACTTCCTCAAACTGCTGATCGAATATACGTTTGCCAATATGTCCGATAGACTGTCTAGGTGGATTCAATTCAAATTCGTTTCCTGATGATTCCAGTGATTTGTTTTGTTGCTCGTAAAAGTTCTCCCAGGTTGTGGTGGCTTCGTTCCTTACAAACTCACTGTAATCATATATAATTTATTACTACATACATTTTTTGGAATAATTAATTTTGTTCTAGCTTAACTAGATCACTTGTTACGGTTTGATCAGTAGAGACATAGGCCGAATGATTTGAATGAATAGGCAAAAGAGCATCTTTTGTGTAGGCATCATGTCTACAGATATGATCCTGCGTCTACTGCACATTAGGCAGACTGTGAGCTTATTCATACTTACTTAATGTTAATTGGTAGAAAGAATTTTCCATATCATTTTAATGATGTCTATTTGTTTAAATCCCAAATTTTTCTACAGGAATTTCAAACACTATTGAGTTTACCTTGCAAACATTATCGGCTTTGTATAGAATTCAATCAATGACCTAAAAATGAACACTACAGCAATAAAGCATTTTCTACAGTACTTACGCAACTCCGGTGCGACGCGAGAAACTGACACGTCTACTTTTAGTTGTATCAGTGGGAGTGGCTACGTTGAACTCGAGCTCAGAGAATGGAGTGCGAGGTGGACGCTGGCTCTTCAGGATGGAAGAACGTCGTTTCCTCCTGTAATTAAACAGCATTGATAGAGAATAATAATTTGTCAAAACAAACATTACTGGTGGTAGGACGTCTTGTGAGTCGGCACGGGTAGGTACCACCACCCTGCCTATTTCTGCCGTGAAGCAGTAATGCGTTTCGGTTTGAAGGGTGGGGCAGCCGTTGTAACTGTACTGAGACCTTAGAACTTATATCTCAAAGTGGGTGGCGCATTTACATTGTAAATGTCTATGGGCTCCAGTAACTTAACACCAGGTGGGCTGTGAGCTCGTCCACCTATGTAAGCATAAAAAAAAGGAAAAAAATAGCATTTAAGAGTTTTACATTTAATGACAGAATCAATGCACAAAATTGGCTGTTTTAACAGAGATAGAAATTTTTTGGGGATGTCAGGTGGCTGTTTTCCAATTCAAAAATCACATTAGCTCAGCTTAAAAATCACAGCTTAAATCGCTATTACTAATGCATAATATAAGCATGTGGTTATATCAAAATTAGCTCTAAAGAACAATCTTCTTATTCCTGTATTATGGTGTAATTTTTAATTAGACTCTTGGGATATCATTGATTAAAACCAATATAATTTATGTTCTTATTGTATCAAGTAGAAACACTACCTAGAGTCCGGCGTATAATTTGATAGAACGGAGACACCCTCACAATGGTCACTCGTGAACAATAGCAACAATGCTTTATAAACATACAACACGATAACGTGACCTCACAAACCTAACTTGAGACATGAGGCCACAATCTCTATTGTATTGTAACTCACAGCACTCATCGCGGCAGAAATGGTCAAGATGACTGTAGAATTAACTAAATCTTGTCATTAAAAGAAAGGAAGTAAGCACGTCTCAGAAAATTTGATGATATAAAAATTGTTTCTTTTTCTATATAAATTTAAATTGAAAAAATATTTTACTTAATTGTAAACTTACGTTGCCGCCTCGTCGGAGGCACGACATTTCTGAGTCTCATCCATACTTAAAACCATAAATTAATTCAGAATAAAAAATTAAAAATCACTACTGCATTTAAATCATTTTTAAATGTTTCATTAAAATATCATGATGCACTGCACGGCACTGATTTACTGCACGACAAACAATATTTTGTTTCAAAATGTGAAACGGTCAAATACCTACACAACAAATTCAAATTATTTTTGTTTGTTTTTTTATTTGAATCGTCCATCGTCTAAAGAAGCATAGTGCATACAGCCAAATAATTTGTGGCAAAAGGTTAAAAGCCTGTGGCAATTTTACGGAAAATGAAATGGAGATAATACTAGATTCTAATAGAGATTGGATCAAATAAAAGCAATTAAACTGGATTACATTAGACACCACCCGTTGGATGTTCCATGAGATGAATTACGAAGCAAAAAAACAACAAAAAAATGTAGTAGTTCGATGGACTTTTGGAAAGAACCCCCAAAGCCAGGTCCAATTAATTGTTTAATTTTCCAACACTATCATACTCATCGATAAAAGGGCCATTAAGCTAACATGAGAAGAAACATTGAATCTGTTAAAATAAACTAACAGAAGTCAACTGCTGTGCGCATATCACGAAAAGAATTCTAGATAGACTACAATAGAATAATAGTTTTAAATTCTAGTACAAGTCTCTCATCTAAAAAAAAGTCTTAGGCTGTGATCCTAAATTAATCATCCGATTGAAATGAAATTTAGCTCAGCTCTAGGGTGTCTGTCATAGTAGGTTCCATCAAGGTACAATAGGTAAGACGCGCATAGTATCAGAAATCAATGTTTTCACACAATCAGCGATAGTGTTGAGCGTGACTTGGTTTCACTAGTTTATCATGTTTTCAGAAACTGCGCGCATTTACAACTGTACTCAATAGATGGCGTTGTAAGCTTTTTAAATAGCACTATTGTTTTATTGACTCGTTTGATATAAAATATATTTCCAAGCGTTTGTCCATACGAATAAGCTCGCGGGTGCACCTGATTAACGTAAAAAACAAATGAAATATCAAACTATTAACGATACTGCAGGCATCGCTTTCCCGCCAAGAAGTGCAATAATTACCAAACTCTATTTTCACGTGTCTATGACTGTTTTGTCGATTCACAAGTTATAATACCTTTGCTCTTACATTGAAGCTCAATTTTGTTAAAGTTATTTCGTAATACACCAAATATTTAAAAAAAAGATTCACATGAAACCAACACAGCGCCATCTATCGTCCGATAGTGCTGGTACATTTCCTAATAACTAAAATGCCTTAATTTACGTTTCCATTAAGTAAATGGCAATAAATGGCCATTAACAATTTTATAGGGTTTCCTGTCCATCCCGTAAATCCAGTATTAAATAAAAAAAATTAATCAAAGACATTAAAATACATACGAGTTCGACACTGACAAAAACTTCATCGCAAGAGGCCGATTGCCGTACTAAAAAAAAGAACAAACGATATGACGGGAATCCATGTATTGCAGTGTCGTATACCGAAGTGTTACGGTTACAGAACGCAACCTTTCCCATAAAACTATAGAAGCTAAGGAAGACCGTCTTGTCTATGGGACAAGTCGAAAAAATTACCACCTGTAAACAGTAAGTTATTGTTGGTGTTGGCAGACTCACCGAAATAGCGCTAGTGTAGCAAGTGGAAATTATATGACTATAGTAGTTTTAAACAGAGTGAAGTGTTTTGGATTGACGTGAAGTGTAATAGTTTATGGTGCTGTTTTTGAAATCCTTCCACTTGCCACTGTGGCGCCACCTTAATTAGCTCCATTTCATCGGACACTTTATAATACACTGATCTAGTCCTCCTTACTTATACCCTCCATACATAAAACTAAAGACTTGAATTTTTTTTAAGGCACAAGGATACGTTTTCAACGGCAATTTTTTTTTATTGCTTAGATGGGTGGACGAGCTCACATCACAGCCCACCTGGTGTTAAGTGTTTACTGGAGCCCATAGACACCTACAATGTAAATGCGCCACCCACCACCAGATATAAGTTCTAAGATCTCAAGCATAGTTACAACGGCTGCCTCACCCTTCAAACCGAAACGCATTACTGCTTCACGGCAGAAATATACAAGGTGGTAGTACCTCTCTACCCGCGCGGACTCACAAGAGATCCTACCACCAGTAATTACGCAAATTATAATTTTGCGGGTTTGATTTTTATACACGATGTTATTCCGCCGCCGTGGAAGTCAATCATGAACATTTGTCGAGTACGTATTTCATTAGAAAAATTGGTACCCGCCTGAGATTCGAACACCGGTGCATCGCCCAACGGGGATGCACCGGAGGTCTTATCCTTTAGGCCACGACGACATTTGACTTGAAATAGCTGTAACTTACAGAATGCAGACAATGCACAGCGCGGTGATAGCCAGCAGTGCTGTGTATATCCAGCAAATGTAAATCCAGACGAGTACAGCATTATATTCCTCCACGCCCACGGGCCCAGACATTACATGGGTTACACTAAAATTTTCACTCCCCTACATGACCAATAATTAGGTTTGAAAAAAAAAAAACCTTACATTACACTCAACAATTTTGATGGCATGATAAAATATTTTGACATTTGCTGTCAAAACAAGATAATTTTTTTGATAGAAGATTTAATTGTCTGTGACTGAAAGATTTCTGGCTTATGAAGTTGTAACGGGCCTTCTTGGCGGGAACGCAAGCATCTTATTTTATTCTATTAATTATTGTTAATAATTGTTGCTTATTGACCATTTAGCATCTATGAAACTAAACACACCTGTGGGAAAATGAAAACAAAACCACAGGACTTGACTTTTCGGATTCTTTCAAAAAGTCCACTGAAGTCATAAGATTAGTCGTAGTTAACCACCAGAGCTTTTGTATATAATCTCATCCCATCTTATGTCGTTAAACTGAATTATCGTCAGAATTGATTACAGTCTCAAAATAAATCTACTTCATCTCTAGCTATTTAAGGTACCAAAATCACGCTTTTGCAAGACCTGATGATGGGATTCTGGAGAAATCTACAAAAATCTATAATTGTCAAAGCCTATCTTAAAGTGATTTGGGTGTTTCAATGTTATAATAAATAACGTATTTATTTGGATAAGGATTGATATCATCTATATATTAATACGTGAAGCAAAAACTTTGTATCCCTTTTTACGAAAATTGCGCGGACGGAGGAGTATGAAATTTCCCACACTTATAGAGAATATAGAGAAGAAGTGCACAATGCTAATATTTTTTTTAAATAATGCATATAAGATACATTAAATCAATAAAGAAAACATTACACACACTACATACCATGTATTTGACGCACACACGCATGCATACTATTTATTGTCAAACTATTGTTCTTGGCGTCTGTTGTCAAATTGAGAATAGATTAAACATTGTTTGTCTTTGTTAATATTTTTATAGTGTAGTCTTGGCGAAATTTGTGATTATAGAAGTATAAAATACAATCATAATAGTGTACAAACTTACAATTCCAATTAATTATAGTCGAATTTCGACTACTGCGGGACTTTATAAAAACACCTTCACAAACAACGCTTTATTTTAGAACAAATTTCCGCAGCGCACGCAGTGGAAGCTCTCAAAAGGGAAAAATACTCCCGATTTTGAAACATTATTTATTGGTGCGCCGCTTGCATTGGTCTTAGCGTGACATTATATAGCCTTCCTCGATAAATGAACTATCTGACACTGCAAGAACTTTTCAAATCGGACCATTCGTTCCGGAGATTAGCGCGTTCAAACAAACAAACAAACAAACTCTTCAGCTTTATAATATTAGAATAGATTAAGTAGTATTAAAAATCCGATGTTTTTAATTGAACTTCAATTAAACTTACCCACTCAAATTGCTTAAGATTTTTTTGTCATATTTTATCTTATACCTTTAAACGAGCAATTCTTGTATATATATATATATATATGAAAATCGTTGGAGCCTTTTCCGAGATTCAGATTATATGTATATATATATATATATATATATATATTTAGTATACAGGGGATTTCGGGGGCGATAAATCGATCTAGCTACGATTTATTTTCAGAAAATGTTGTTTTATTCGTGTTTTCAATAATCAACTCTTCTCGACATCTATTGGCGGATAATAATACTATTTTTCTTAATTGAGGGCAACTAACCAAGATGGCGTTATCAAATAAAAAAATCGAGCAAAGCTCGGTCATCATCTAGTACAATTTTAAGCTTTAAATGCCTCTCCTGTTAGGTTTCAAAAATGCGCTTAAACCATATAGCCTTTTACCCCGTGACATCTAGCTAATAATCAGCTTGTCCTACTATTGAAAGACATAGATATATGACTTTATATTAGATGTATTTTATCTAATTCAGAATTAATTTCGTTAATAAAATAAGAGATTATGGTTAATATTATTTCATTTATTAATACGGTAAATTTTAAAAACCAAAAACGTAATTTCCATTCGTACAAGTTTATTTTTGCGGGAAAATCATGTTGTAGGTTTATAATTTTTTTGTTTCCGTTGCCTATATTTTTTTTTTTGTTGCCAGCTTTCCTCTAACTTCAATTCCGTCAGCACGAGCGCATTACCAAGTCACGTCGGCTTTAATGATCTCATAACATTTATACTTTTATCGACGATGACTTCTATTATTTACATTAGCTTCAAACGAATTTGAATGCGTACAGAAAAAAAAACACATTTCGATATTGATTTTATTCGTAATCCATGTGACGGCAACTCGTACAGAGAGAAATTCCACTATCAAGGGAAACTGTTACAGAACAGCAACACTTTCTGCAAAAAAAAGAGAACAGAATACTAAAATGTACCTATAAAAAGATACCTATAATATGTCGTATGACGGCAACTTTGAAATTGTATGGTTTTTTTGTTTATTGCTTAGATTGGTGGACGAGCTCATAGCCCACCTGGTGTTAAGTGGTTACTGGAGCCCATAGATATCTACAACGTAAATGCGCCACCTTGAGATATAAGTTCTAAGGGTCTCAGTATAGTTACATCGGCTGCCCCACCCTTCAAACCGAAACGCATTACTGATTCACGGCAGACTGCGCGGACTCCCAAGAGGTCCTACTACCAGTAATTACGCAAATATAATTTTGCGGGTCTTATTTTTGTTACACGACGTTATTCCTTCATCGTGGAAGTCGATCATGAATATTTGTCAAGTACGTATTTCGTTAGAATAATTAGTACCCGCCTGGAATTCGAACACTGGTGCATCGCTCAACACGAATGAACCGGACGTCTTATCTCTTAGGCCACGATGACATTATGGTCTATTCGACTATATTGTGGTAATAAGGCCGCTTATTAGTAATACGTTCCTTAACGTACGTCAATTAACAGCCGGAGTCACGCAAGGCTCCGCCCTCTCCCAGTTACTATTCTGTTTGTATATCAACGATATACCCCGGTCTCCGGAGACCCATCTAGCGCTCTTCGCCGATGACACGGCTATTTACTACTCGTGTAGGAAGTAGTCGTCATTGCATCGGCGACTCCAGACCGCACCATTGAGACAGTGGTTCCGGAAGTGGCGCATCGAAATCAACCCCACGAAAAGCATAGCGGTGCTCTTCAAAAGGGGTCGCCCTCCGAATACCACTTTGAGCATCCCACTCCCGAATAGGCGCGTAAACACCTCCACTATTCGCCCCCTTACTATATTCGACCAACTTATACCATAGGCCCCGAATGTCAAATACCCACACGTCACTGTCGACAGACGGATGACATTCCACTCAGAATCCGCTCTCACATTAAGTCGATACGAGACCGAGCCGCGTCCACACTAGGACGCCTCTATCCGATGATTTGCAAGCGAAGTAAATTGTCCCTTCGAAATAAGGTGACACTCTACAAAACTTGCATACGTCCGGTCATGACCTATGCAAGTGTAATGTTCGCTCACGTGGCCCGCACTAACTTGAAACCCCTCTAAATCACACAATCCCGTTTTTGCAGGATAGCCGCCGGAGCCCCGTGGTACGTGAGAAACGTGAACGTCCACGAAAACATAGACATAGAGTCCACCAGTAAGTATCTACAATCGGCATCAGTGCGCCATTTCGAAAAAGCGGCACAACGCGAGAACTCTCACCGTGGCCGCCCATAACTACAGTCCCGATCCTGCGGACCGAATGGTAAACAGTCGCCGCGCCCAAAGCACGTTATTTCGGATTCTCCCGATACAGAAACGGTGCTTTTAGGTACTTCAAGCACCGGTCATCGTTCTCGTCGAATCTGTCACTCGCAACGAGTAAATTAACACAGCCCATTGAGTTTCTCGCCGGATTTTCTCAGTGGGTCGCGTTTGATCCGTTGGTAGATTCTGCGAAGCACTGCTCCTGTTAGGGTTAGTGTTAGCAACAACGTCAGGCTCCAGGTCCAACCCCGTGAGCTCACCTACTCGCCCGGTGACGCTGATATAGTCTCTCAAGACCATCAGCTTAGGTAGGGAAAAAAAAAACATGGTTAAACACAAATAGGTTGGTTGTCTTCCAGCGTAACGAACGTATTAAAAATATACAGCCAACGCGTCGGGAGACTTCAAGAGTATAAATCTTTATATGTATTATATTAAAATTTCTGTCTCAATACGAACCTTCTTTTTGTCCGTCTCCGTGTAGCCTTGCGTTGTTTCCTTTTACTATCTTTTCGTTTCGATACTTTCTTTTCGATTTTCTTTTCTTTCCTATGATTACTTTCGCGTTTTTCGATTTGTATTTTACGTTCCTTTTCTAGTTGTCTTTTCTTTCTAGCTCTATAAACTTCGCATGAATCTTTGGGAACTACCTTCCAAAATGCTTTAGACGACGTACGTTGGGATCTCTAAAATATTATTTAATTAACAGCTGAAATTGATAAAACCGTAACAGGTCTGTTGATGTTTAAGCATTAATGATGAAACGAATTTACGGCTTCTGTTTGCTTAGTGCGAATTTTTTTACTTTCTCGATAGCGTAAACGTTAACTCAAATTTGTATGGAGTTGGAATGTTTGCCTACGTTTGCCGCTAGGGGTGCTGTTCCAACTGTATATAAATTCGAGTTAACTTTTACGCTATCGAGAACGTTAAAAAACTCGCACTAAGAACACAGTGCATGCAATAATCAACATACCAAAATAAAATAAAACTATCAACATTTTTGATCAAGGGTCCAACCCATGCAGTCGACTCTAGTCTGTTGCTTAATATTCCCTTTGCCTTTATATTTCTTATGGAGGGTAGAGGTAAGGAGAATCAACTGTGTGAATCAACTGTACTGTATATTATGAGAAGTGTCCGTGGAAATGTATTAAATTAGGGTGGCGTCACATCAGCATCAGGGTAAAAGGAAGCGCCAAATATAAAAGTAGGTTTGATAGATACTTTTTCATAAAATGAAATGTTATTAAATCAATAATCGTACCAATCACAGTTTGCAAAAATAATATCACTTTAGGTGCACGTTTTCTTGTAATCATTCTTTAAGGTTATATTTACTGCATTATTTGAAACAATGTAAGGTGTTGAAATTTTCAATAATTAACTACTTGACTCTTTTTTTTTATTGCTTAGATGGGTGGACGAGCTCACAGCCCACCTGGTGTTAAGTGGTTACTGGAGCCCATAGACATCTACAACGTAAATGCGCCACCCACCTCGAGATATAAGTTCTACGGTCTCAGTATAGTTACAACGGCTACCCCACCCTTCGAACCGAAACGCATTACTGCTTCACGGCGGAAATAGGCGGGGTGGTAGTACCTACCCGTGCTGACTCCGAAGAGGTCCTACCACCAGTGATTACGCAAATTATAATTTTGTGGGTTTGATTTTTATTACACGATGTTATTCCTTCACCGTGGAAGTCAATCGTGAACATTTGTTGAGTACGTATTTCATTAGAAAAATTGGTACCCGCCTGCGGGATTCGAACGCCGGTGCATCGCTACATACGAATGCACCGGACGTCTTATCCTTTAGGCAGCATTGAACTGGACACTGTCAACTTTTCTCTCATATGAAATGATTCTCCTTACCCTCCATAATATTTATTTCTTCAATGTATTTTTAATATTCCTTGAATTTGGTACTCACATGAAGACGTACAGCTTCATTTAGATCGTCAAAGTTTAACGCCCTCTGTATATGAATACTACCTTGTGACCGTATTTTTCTATATTTGGTTGTAAATTCATGTTTCATAGGTAGCATTTATTACTGTCATATAGTTCAATCTTACAACAATGTAATTTTAATGTAAATACCTTTTTTTATGGTGTAATTGTTTTGATTTAAAATGTCTAATGTCAAAAAAAGATTTTCAATCAATCAAATTATTCGAATTTTTACTATTTCCACTCGATAAGGGATAACGCTAGTAAACATATTTTTTACAAACATAAATTTACACTGTGTAGAACATTACTACATACAAGCTATCTATCTAATTATATTAATGAAACTAAATGTTATTTAAGCGGTATGTAATTGTGTCTTGATAAAATTTTAGGCAAAATTTTAATTTTTTTAAAATACGCAGCTAGCTACGTAGAACGAAAAAATATCGATGACAGTCATATGACTCTCGGTGACAGCACTACCAACATTACCAACGGAATCCACCATCTTGGGGCAGCTGATATTTGTTTGAGATAATCGAAATTAGAAGAAATATCTAAATAACATCTCAAAATGGGCTACTCCCTTATCCCGATCTTCGTTTTCTCCATCCTTTGGGGTGTGGTTGGTATTATTTGCCCCATCTTCGCACCTAAAGGACCAAACAGAGGGTAAGAAGGAACTCACGATTGCAACAAAAATATTTTAAGAATTTCGGTGTTCTAACTAAAGTTTCATTAAAAATCGTTTCAGGATTATTCAAGTGGTGTTAATATTAACAGCAGCGACATGTTGGTTGTTGTAAGTACGATTTAAATTCTTTTTAAATTATTAAACTTTCGTTACTCATGGCAAGATATCCAATGCATCAAATAATCATAAAGGCTCATCATCCTCATAAACGTACAGACTTCCTCTGCCGGACAGATCTCAATAATAAATTTTCAGGTAACATAGTTTAGTTCAAAAATTATTTAATGCATAGTTCTCTAATGATAAGCCCTCAGCCTCCTGGTGCTCATAGCTTTCCAGGATCCATAGAAGTATAACATGAATGCCGACCCCCAATTTCAGACATCGCCATTTTTGTGCGGTACTACATACTTGGGTCTATCACTGAACAATGATTATTTAGTCTGAATTAGCAGTTGAATAGTGTTCTGTATATTTTAACCCTTGTGCACAAGTGTCAACACTGCACTACTAAATTTTTCGAACGCGATTTTTTAACGTAATTAAACTACAACGAAGGTCTCCGTCTTGAGCTGTGGGACACATGTTTAAATGCGTACAGAAACCGTCCTAGCCTTTAGATCAGTACACAGATACACTAACTGTTTCATAACACAAAGGCAGTAGGCTCTTACTTAGGATAAATGTATAAATTTTGACGGTTTAATATTCTTATCATGGTGTTATTTGTGTTATTAATTACAGAAAGTAACTTGTGAAAATGCCATGAGTAGTTTAGTAATTTTTTTTACATTTGCATGTAAAATTTGATAATAAATGGTATGCTCGATATGAGTACAACTTATTGTTGAAGTTATGACAATTTAACTAATTTCTCTACTCTGTAGACTAGTAATAGTGTAATCTGTAAATATTCAGTCTTAATGGGCAGAGATAAATTACATGCAGATCAAACTAACAAACTTTACTGCTCTCGAGTCTAATTACCTTGACTACAAAACCATGAGTCCAAATTTGATACCTGATGAGAGACTTGTGGTCTAGGTGTTCTTTACTCATATGTTACATTCTACCAATCAATATCAGATTAATTAAATTGAAATTTCTCATTTAAATTGTGCATAAATTATTTTTAATGTATAAAATATAATAATTTGTATAATTTGGATAAATAAAGAATAGTTTCGCTATCATCATCCTATATAGCACTGTTTTAAATAATTTGAAGTTGTATAAGATTTCTTCTTCAATTTAACCTCTTTGAATCACATATTTGTTAATAACTACAATAACAATTTTTTCATAGAAAGATTTTTGAAAGAAGAAAAAAAGTTTACATTCCGTAATTGAAACACTAACTTGGATCACTGACAAGCTCGACCAAGACTTTTAATTTGAAAAATGTTTAAAACAAACTCTGTTTGCTTTCCAGTTGGCTGTGTGCTTACATGGCACAGATGAACCCTCTCATCGGGCCCAGACTCAGCAATGAAACCCTAATCTGGATTTCACGCACTTGGGTAAGACGTCCATAAGATTTTTTAACAAAACAAATGACACCATAACTTAAATGTGTAAGTAATCTGAACGAGGCTTGTAGAGAGTTCTTAACAATAGGCAGGCATTCTTAACGGCTTGGCTCTGCGCCTGTCATTGCTGACGTCCATGGGCGACGGTAACTGCTCACCATCAGGTTGGCCGTATGCTCTTCTGCCTGTAAAGGCAATAAAATAATAATAATAGGACCGTTTAAACCTTGGGGATTACCTGACTATTTTGGGCAAGATTCTAACATGTTGACTGCCATGAGGGTTAGCGGTGACTGGCTTTCAACTTGGCTAAAGCACTGTGCCGGCCATTAGTTGATTGACGACGTAGCAAATAATTTTAGTACATAATTATAGTAAATATTCATACTGATATTTTTTTCAAAATTACTATTATTACTTTTATAGTTTAAACAAAGTAACTCAGTATGGAACTTAAGCACATATTGTGTTGGGTAACAAATCAGTTCATTTTGTTTCTGTGTACGGAAGCTCCAATCTGGGCGTGCCGTGCTCGAGGCGTGGTCTCGCCGCCTGGCGGACCCCGCCTACGCAGGTGCTCACGGGACACGGCTGTTTCGGTCGCTACCTGCACCTCGTCGCCCGGAGGGAGCCGACGCCGAAGTGCCACCACTGCAGTGGCTGCAACGAGGACACGGCGGAGCACACGCTCGCGTACTGCCCCGCCGTTGTAAAGATAAGACCGGACTTGTCGCTTCCGACCGTCGTGGCTACGATGCTCGGCAGCGACGAGTCCTGGCAGGCGATGCTCGACTTCTGCGAGTCCACCATCTCGCAGAAGGAGGCGGCGGAACGGGAGAGGGAGAGCGAGAGCTTTTCTTCCCTCTCGGCGCCGTGCCGCCGCCGCCGAACCGGGGGTCGGAGGAGGGCGTTTGTCCAGCTCCAGCCCCTATGAGGAGGCAGTCTCCTCCCGGTGATGGTCACGGGGCGACCTAAGGGGGTTGAGGCTGCGCCGCACGCTACCTTTACTCTAGCGCGCTAGCACCAGGAGGATTGCAAACACTGGTCCTAGCAAGAGCAGTACTTCGCTGAATCTACCACCAGATCAGAATCGCGACCCACTGAGAATATCCAGCGAGAAACTCAGTGGGTAATCGGAGTCCAAAAGGAACATACACACATTGACTTTTATGCAATACAAAACTAATAGACGTTAGACGTCAAAACAAATCACGTGCCACGTTTGACCTTGGACATTTCGCGATGACGCACTAATAGAGAACGTAATAGCTACGTAGTAATCTAGAATAGCACTCTATATAGCTAGGATCAAGGTTGGAGCGAGCTATAGAAAGGCCCTGGATTTCCTTCACGTCTTGAGGGGACGAAGCCAGTTATTCTTCAGCCGTTATGATGTTAGCAGCAGACGAATTGGCTTTTTGTTTCTTAAGAGTTGAGTTTGTGGAAGGAAAGAGGCCTGCAAGAGAAGGGGCGTAGTCCGGCGTTGGTCCGATCAGATTACGACGGCTTTGGTCTCCAGCATCAATGTCGCTATCCACTGCGCGGAGGACAGGGAGAAATGGAGAAAGATAGACTTAACAAAAGTGCTCCGTCAAGGTCACGATCTTCAGCACTGAGGAACATGACGCACGGAGGGAAGAATTGGAAAAGAGTACAAATCTCATTGAAATTTTTTTTCCCTTTCGCATTTGATATATGATGATATATAATCAATTGAAATTATAAGTTTGAACATTATTCTGGTTCTATTTTCAAAGACTATTTATTATATTTGTATAGAGACAGATTTCGCCAAGAAAGATAAACAATATTAACAACAACAAAAGTTTGACAATAAACAAAGTGTGTGTGTGTTTGTTTGTGTGTGTGTGTGTGTGTGTGTGTGTTTGTGTGTGTGTGTCAAATACACGGTAGTGTGTATAATGTTTTCTTTATCGATTTAATATATTTTATGCATAATTTAAAAAAAAAATTAACATTATGCACTCCTCTATATTCTCTATAAGTGTGAGAAATTTCATACTCCTCCGTCCGCACGATTTTCGTAAAAAAGTGTACAAGGTTTTTGCTTTACGTATTAATATATAGATATTATCTCTAACACAATTTCGCGAATCAATAGCGCGCATGTATTAGTATAGGATGAACAATTTATTTATGGTATTTACCTGACGTAGAAGTAAGTGGCAATATTAAATGAGTGAGTGGTGTATTAAATGAGTCGACTATTATCAAAGCCGGCAATGTGACTTTGGACAATTATTGGTAAATCAGAAAAACGAATTATTGACTTTGTATTCCATTGGCAGTCACAAAACTCTTCTGAACGACATCTTAGATAAATAACAGGTTAAGTTAATACTTTATTTAATGCAGGTTTTGAACCGTATTCTTTGAAGGAGACGATTGATATTCAAATCGAATCTGTATTGCCATATCAATAACATTTTTTTGTCCAAATGCACAGATTGCCACCTTTGATAATAGACGACTCAAATAGTGTCGACTGAAAGGAAAATAATTAAGCTGGTGTCTTAATAACCAGTGGTAAGATTTAAAAAAATAACGCCACTAACTACCACACTTCACTTCGATTCAGCTCACTTCACTCTGTTAAAAACTGCTATGTTCATATCGTTTCCTCTTCCTACACTAGCGCTGTTTCGGTGAGTCTTCCAGCATTAACCCGCTGTTTACAGGTGAACACTTTTTCAACTTGTCTCCTATACAACTACTATACTTTTCACTGGTGGTAGGACCTCTTGGGAGTCCGCACGGGTAGGTACCACCACCCCGCCTATTACCGCCGTGGAGCAGTAATGCGTTTCGGTTCGAAGGGTGGGGTAGCCGTTGTAACTATACTGAGACCTTAGAACTTGTATCTCGAGGTGGGTGGCGCATTTACGTTGTAGATGTCTATGGGCTCCAGTAACCACTTAACACCAGGTGGGCTGTGAGCTCGTCCATCCATCTAAGCAATAAATAAAAAAAAAGCAAGATGGGGATCCTTAGTAAACCTCCATACTTCAATGCTAAGTCAAAATTGAACTTTACTATGCGGTAAATTTCAGCAAAAACAAAAATCTATACTAATATATAAATCTACAGTGGTTTTTACGGATGTTCCGTTATAACTACTGAACCATGCATCCGATTGACTTGAAACTTGGTATCCATGTAGAAAATACATGTACTTGATAGATAGACTAATATTTATATGAGTGTTGGATTCTCTACACGAGTTGCGGGGGCGTTAATGATGATAATCTTTGTGGGGGTGAGAAATAAAAATGTTAATTTTAAATGCCCAGCGAAGCGGACGGGTACAGCTAGTACGTCTATAAAAATAAGAAAAAAGGATTTAAAAAAAATCATTTTCGCAAGATAATGAACGCAAAAATCTTCAACCGACTTCTTGTTATTATTAAAGAGATTTATGACCTGGTAACTAAGACCTTTAAGTCATGTCTTATTTTAATTTATCTTCTTATTTTTATGAAAAATGATAATATGGAGTAAAATGAAATGAAACGAAGACAATTAATTTGTGGCATTAATCAACTGGGATGAAATTAAATGAGATGCGATGAGATGATATGGGATGAAATATAATCTCAGTAAAATGGTGGTCTGTTACTGAGATTTTTTCAGTGGACTTTTTGGAGGATCCCGAGAAGTTACGTCCAGTGGTTTTGTTTCATTTTTCCACATTTGTGCACTTTCACAGATATTAAACAGTTAATAAACCACCGTTATCACACTTTTAAACCCGAAGACACACTAAATTGACAAAATAAACCAAAATAAACAACTTTACTTCTCGCGTTCCCGCCAAGAAGTCACCGACTTCTTGTTGTGGGTATCATTGCCAGCTTACAAATAATTGGGATATTTTTAGAAATTAGGGCAATAAGTATGATTAAAATTTTCCGTAAATTTAGACTAAGAAGAGTGGTTTTTTTTACTTAAATTAATTTGATTTTCATTTTGTTACAGGGAAACAAAATAAACAACACGCAAGCTTAATCGTCGGACTTTAAAAGTCCCTGCAGAGGTTTAGTTGGGTGGTTTAAGAATGTTACAATGATTGTTAAAAGTTACTAATAAATGCAAATGCTTTTTAAATTTAAACCCTAAAACATATTGTAATATATTATTATGCCGTATTTTAGTTTACCTCTATAGTTCTAAGATGAATAAAGTTGAATACTCTATGACGCACCGTTAATCTGTATTTGTGGCCAATTTTTATAATCTGTGCCGAGGAACTGTCATATTAAATTTTGACTGCAGTATTATTTTCTTTTCTCTTCTTAGATTCACAAATCGAGCATCCTTAATTGCTCCTTAATTAACCCTTGTTTGCGATTGAAAGAAAAAAAACAATATACAATTGAAAACTGTCGAATCATTCGATACTCAATCATTCCAAAGAATGTTTAAATACTGAGTCTTAAAAATAAAATAAAACTGTATTGTAGATATTGTATGTGTAATTCAATAAATTATTTCGATTATGTTTAGTTTTTATTGTTTCAATAATCTGTGCATTTCTCAACTTTGGCCTCGTTGGGGTGAGTTGAAATATGCATCAGGTGTGTTCCATGATTTTCATCAAATTTGAAGTTGTAATAGACAAATAACGCACATAAATTAGTTATAGATAAGCAACTCGAGCACTCAACAAAAATGTTTACGGGCGTCGACCACTAGATGGCTTTGCTTCGATTAGTTTCTCATTGCTCCTGTAAATGGCAGTAACATATTACCTATCCTATATTTTATTTTTAATGAAGGATTTTGTAAGTTTCCAGGAACCACAAATTGATAAAAGTAAATCAATTTGTATATAACAAAGACTTGTATGATTTATTAATTTTATATTTTCTGTGTTTAGTTATACAACAATTGAATGCGTTAATTTTAACAACGTATAAGTTTAGGGGCATCTGCTACAAGATGTCGCTAGTTTCCATACAAAAAAATAGTCGTGGATGGAAGGATGAGCAACACATGGCCCGCAAAAGCATTTCTGAATTTATTTTATCGACTTTCTCTCATCAATATATTATTATAAAATTAATTATAACAAAATGTTAGTAAAGAAAGTAAGTGATGTCTCTGTTCGGAAGTTCGTATATTTGCGAACAATTACATATTTTCAACCATAAAATTAATCAAAAATGACCACTGATCTGTCTCTAATAAAGAATAAAAAAATAATAAAAAAACTGAGTAATGGATGAATGGATGAAGAAAGCTTCGTATAGTGCGTTTAAAATAAGAATGTGCACGTCAATGACCTTGATCTGTCAAAGTTCGATAAAAAAAAATGGAGAGCCACAAATAACTTTTTTCTTTTTTTGCGTAAGTTTGAAGAATATTGATACGTTTGTTTTAATGAATCATACACACCTATATAATTTCCTTGACATATAGAGTACTTACTGGTCGAGTTAAATTAAACATGAACTTAGATTATATTTAAAAAAAAATCCCACCTATTTCAAAATTAAGGCTGCAACACCATCGGGCCCTATTATCTATGGATGGGCGAAGATGGTGATGATTACCCAAGCAGTGGGATGAGTGGAATCGACAAACTAAGTTTCGGATTATAAATTAATATTAAAAAATTCCTAAGTTTTTTTACTGACTTTACCTATTTTTTTCGAGTTGACAGCTATGACGTCATAATAATGGCGCATATCCATGCACATTCTTATTCGAAACTCGTACGCGTAGCGAGCGAGCGTAGAGAGCGTTAAAAAAACTCATTAAGCTCACTGATAGTGACGTGTTTTTTTATTGCTTAGATGGGTGGACGAGCTCACAGCCCACCTGATGTTAAGTGGTCACTGGAGCCCATCGACATCTACAACGTAAATGCGCCACCCACCTTGAGATATAAGTTCTAAGGGCTCAAGTATAGTTACAACTGCTGCCCCACCCTTCAAACCAAAACGCATTACTGCTTCACGGCAGAAATAGGCAGAGTGGTGGTACCTACCCGCGCGGACTCACAAGAGGTCTTACCACCATAACCTAACTCATACATCAGCCCGCTGAGTTTCTCGGCGGATCTTCTCAGCGGGTCGCGATTCCGATCCAGTAGTAGATTCATTCGCCAAGCAGTTGCTCTTGAGTTGTTAGCTCTCCAATGGAGGCGCTCGGGCGACTGTTCGCAAACCCCACCCTTCCTGGCTCAGCCTTTGCTCGCCCACCTGTCCTAGTAAAACTGGAAAGGCCTCAGGGCCACCAGTAAGCCTTCCTCCATAAAAAAGTTCTTAAAATTTTAACTCAATTTCAAGGGGGGAAATGCATTGAAATTCCGGTGTAATTATCGAGGTTTATATTCTAAAATGTGTGTAGGTACAGCTTTGTTTTAGATTAACTTGGACATACCGAATAAATACCTGTAAAGATTTTAATTTTAATACATTTATAAATAACCTCATCGCTGAAACTGTGAAAAGATTTCTATTATTATTTTTGTTCTGGTCACGTGAAAATTTTCAAGCGTCAACCAAATTAAACTGGCTACGGGTATCGTAAAACTTAACGCGAATACAACTAGCCACGTTCAGATAAGAAGCTTAAATCTCATATGAACACATTTAAAAAAATTCTCCTTTCTGTTTTCTACCTATGCTGATAGCCTTGAGAGGCTATTTCAGCTTCGCCCTAACGTGTAGGTGAGCTCACGGGGCTCAAACCGGAGTGGTGCTAACACTGGCCCTAGCAAGAGCAGTGCTTTGCAGAATCTACCACCGGATCGGAAACACGACCCACTGAGAAGATCCGGCGAGAAGTCTGTAGTTTAATTAGCCCTTCGTCACAAGCGACGGGTTCGACGAGAACGATGACCGGTGCTTGTACCTAAAAGCACCGTTAGTGGATCGGGAGGATCCGTAATACGACTGTTTACCATTCGGTCTACAGGATCGGGTAAATTGTCATGGTTAATACATCAAAACATTGACTCCAGAAAAATAAATAATAGGTAAAAAAAACTAAAAAACACGCTTTATATAAAATTCAACTAAAACGGGGTAACAAAAAAGCGTGGGGTGCTTTTTAAGATATTATTAAAATAATAATTCTTCTACTTATATCTGTCAGAAAAATATTTATAACTAATAGTACCATGCACCCCACGCTTTTTACAATAAAATGTATATTTTTTTACACTATTTTCAATTTAAATTTATTAAAATTTATTTTCTATTTTTTAGTTGAATTTTATATAAACGTGTTTTTTAGGTTTTTTTTTTATATTTTTTTTTTTAGTTCATTTTTTTGCAACATGAATAATGGAATAATCTTATCAAGTTCGTGTATTGTCATCGGTTCTCGATAAATCTACAAAGTTTGAATGAAATCTGACCGTTTAAAGTGGGTCAAAATCGCGTCTAAAGGAGTCAGTTACAAACATACAAACTTACAAGAGAAGCTAATATAAAGCGTGTAAAAAGAAGTTACATTACAAAGGAACGTTAGCTACCCTCAGAATCAAAGTTATTCTTATTGTATGTACAGAAAATGGCCGCAACGCAAATAGTACGAAGGCCTTCGACCTGCGGCAGCACTAGGCGGATGTCAAGTACAGCGTGCTACGCGTAACGTTTCAGAGTTGCTAGACTATTGAAATTAGCAGAATGCTGTCGATAATAGATTTAAAAAAAAAAGTGTGGCACTCGGGGACTATCGCGGTAAAGCTATTGCATAGCATTTTTTATCAACTTATGCAATTATAATTAGACAATAATAATTTAATTTTAAAACAATAATAACATAAGACCACGCTATATTTATAAACATTAACAAAAGCAAAACATTAACTGTCCCCTTCACACTTATAAACTAGACCGCGCGAGAGAGAGATGGGCAGACTTTTCATGATGCGCATGCATTGCGACGTCACGCCGCGCGCTTATTCACAAACACTACACAAGCGCAACGTGTGAATGTGTTGAACGCGAGCTACACGGTAGGTGGAGTGGGAGGGGGTGTTAGGTTTTATTTTCGTTACGGAATTTCTTGATTCGGTCACCGCGCTAAAAGCCCGCGATAAAAGCTATGCAGTAGCTTAAAAAACCCTAAACCCTGTAAAAAATACGAGAGATTTATGTATATTTGGAGTTTACTCCTTAAGAATCGATTTACATATATAGGCCCGGGGTATGAAAATTATGGGGACCAAAATCGTACTAGCATGTCACACGAAATGCGTTATGCGCCTGATTGGCTCCTGATTGCGTGATGCGTGCGCGCGCCAATCAGGAGCCAACGCGCGGCCGCGTTATCGCAGGTGACGCCGGGCTGCTGCGCCGGCANTTTAAGTCATGTCTTATTTTAATTTATGTTCTTATTTTTATGAAAAATGATAATATGGAGTAAAATGAAATGAAACGAAGACAATTAATTTGTGACATTAATCAACTGGGATGAAATTAAATGAGATGCGATGAGATGATATGGGATGAAATATAATCTCAGTAAAATGGTGGTCTGTTACTGAGATTTTTTCAGTGGACTTTTTGGGAGGATCCCGAGAAGTTACGTCCAGTGGTTTTGTTTCATTTTTCCACATTTGTGCACTTTCACAGATATTAAACAGTTAATAAACCACCGTTATCACACTTTTAAACCCGAAGACACACTAAATTGACAAAATAAACAACTTTACTCCTCGCGTTCCCGCCAAGAAGTCACCGACTTCTTGTTGTGGGTATCATTGCCAGCTTACAAATAACTGGGAGATTTTTAGAAATTAGGGCAATAAGTATGAATAAAATTTTCCCTAAATTTAGACTAAGAAGAGTGGTTTTTTTTACTTCAATTAATTTGATTTTCATTTTGTTACAGGGAAACAAAATAAACAACACGCAAGCTTAATCGTCGGACCTTAAAAGTCCCTGCAGAGGTTTAGTTGAGTGGTTTAAGAATATTACATTGATTGTTAAAAGTTACTAATAAATGCAAATGCTTTTTAAATTTAAACCCTAAAACATAATGTAATATATTATTATGCCGTATTTTAGTTTACCTCTATAGTTCTAAGATGAATAAAGTTGAATACTCTATGATGCACCGTTAATCTGTATTTGTGGCCAATTTTTATAATCTGTGCCGAGGAACTGTCATATCAAATTTTGACTGCAGTATTATTTTCTTTTCTCTTCTTAGATTCACAAATCGGGCATCCTTAATTGCTCCTTAATTAATCCTTGTTTGCGATTGAAAGAAAAAAAAAACAATATACAATTAAAAACTTTGTCGAATCATTCGATACTTAATCATTCCAAAGAATGTTTAAATACTGAGTCTTAAAAATAAAATAAAACTGTATTGTAGATATTGTATGTGTAATTCAATAAATTATTTCGATTATGTTTAGTTTTTATTGTTTCAATAATCTGTGCATTTCTCAACTATGGCCTCGCTGGGGTGAGTTGAAATATGTATCAGGTGTGTTCCATGATTTTCATCAAATTTGAAGTTGTAATGGACAGATAATGCATATAAATCAAAAATGTTTACGGGCGTCGAGCACTAGATGGCTGCGCTTCGATTAGTTTCTCATTGCTCCTGTATATGGCAGTAACATATTACCTATCCTATATTTTATTTTTAATGAAGGATTTTGTAAGTTTTCAGGAACCACAAATTGATAAAATTAAATCAATTTGTATATAACAAAGACTTGTATGATTTATTAATTTTCTGTGTTTAGTTATACAACAATTGAATGCGTTAATTTTAACAACGTATAAGTTTAGGGGCATCTGCTACAAGATTTCGCTAGTTTCCATACAAAAAAATAGTCGTGGATGGATGGATGAGCAACACATGGCCCGCAAAAGCATTTCTGAATTTATCGACTTTCTCTCACATCAATATATTATTATAAAATTAATTATAACAAAATGGTAGTAAAGAAAGTAAGTGATGTCTCTGTTCGGAAGTTCGTATATTTGCGAACAATTACATATTTTCGACCATAAAATTAATCAAAAATGACCACTGATCTAGTTCTAATAAAGAATAAAAAAATAATAAAAAAACTGAGTAATGGATGAATGGATGAAGAAAGCTTCGTATAGTGCGTTTAAAATAGGAATGTGCACGTCAATGACCTTGATCTGTCAAAGTTCGATAAAAATATATGGACAGCAACAAATAAAATTTTTCTTTTTTTATAGTGAAATTTTTGCGTAATTTTGAAGAACATTGATACGTTTGTTTTAATGAATCATATACACCTATATAATTTCATTGACATATATTGAGTACTGGTCGAGTTAAATTAAACATGAACTTAGATTATATTTAAAAAAAAATCCCATCTATTTAAAAGTCAAGACTGAAACATTGTCGGGCCCTTTAATCTATGGACGGGCGAAGATGGTGATGATTACCCAAGCAGTGGGATGAGTGGAATCGACAAACTAAGTTTCGGATTATAAATTAATATAAAAAAGTTCCTAAGTTTTTTTACTGACTTAACCAATTTTTTTCGAATTGACAGCTATGACGTCACTATATGGCGCAGATCCATGCACATTCTTATTTGAAACTCGTACGCGTAGAGAGCGTTAAAAAACTCTCATTAAGCTCACTGATAATGACGTGCTTTTTTTATTGCTTAGATGGGTGGACGAGCTCACAGCCCACTTGATGTTAAGTAGTTACTGGAGCCCATAGACATCTACAACGTAAATACGCCACCCACCTTGAGATATAAGTTCTAAGGTCTCAAGTATAGTTACAACGGCTGCCCCACCCTTCAAACCGAAACGCTATACTGCTTCACGGCAGAAATAGTCAGGGTTCTGGTACCCACCCGCGCGGACTCACAAGAGGTCCTACCACCATAACCTAACTCATACATCAGCCCGCTGAGTTTCTCGGCAATGACATGCTTTGGGCGACGTCGACTGTTTACCATTCGGTCTACAGGATCGGGTATGTAGTTTCCAGCGGTCGCGACAAGAGGGTTCTCATGTCGTGTCGCCTTCTCGAAGTGGCGCAATGTCGCCGACTGTAGATACTTACTGACAGAGTCGAGCTCCAGGTCATCGCGGTTCTCTTTGTGCTCTGCTTCGTACATAACCCTTGCATTAGAGGCCTTCAGTTCTAACACTAGGAGTAGGGACCCCGGTAACCGTACTCGTCGAACTCTTTGCAGGACTCTGTGCAACGAAACCTAAACATCAGCCCGCTGAGTTTCTCGCCGGATCTTCTCAGCGGGTCGCGATTCCGATCCAGTAGTAGATTCATTCGCCAAGCAGTTGCTCTTGAATTGTTAGCTCTCCAATGGAGGTGCTCGGGTAGCTGTTAGCAAACCCCACGCCTCCTGGCTCAGCCTTTGCTCGCCCACCTGTCCTAGTGAAGATGGAAAGGCCTCAGGGCCACCAGTAAGCCTTCCTCCATAAAAAAGTTCTTAAATTTTTAATGCAATTTCAAGGAAATGCATTGAAATTCCGGTGTAATTATCGAGGTTTATATTCTAAAATGTGAGTAGGTACAGCTTTGTTTTAGATTAACTTGGACATACGGAATAAATACCGGTAAAGATTTTAATTTTAATACATTTATAAATAACCTCATCGCTGAAACGGTGAAAAGATTTCTATTATTATTTTTGTTCTGGTCACGTGAAAAATTTCAGGCGTCAACCAAATTAAACTGGCTACGGGTATCGTAAAACTTAACGCGAATATAACTAACCACGTTCAGATAAGAAGCTTAAATCTCATATGAACACATTTAAAAAAATTCTCCTTTCTGTTTCCTACCTATGCTGATAGCCTTGAGAGGCTATTTCAGCTTCGCCCTAACGTGTAGGTGAGCTCACGGGGCTCAAACCGGAGTGTTGCTAACACTGGCCCTCGCAAGAGCAGTGCTTCGCAGAATCTACCACTGGATCGGAAACGCGACCCACTGAGAAGATCCGGCGAGAAGTCTGTAGTTTAATTCGCTCGTCGAGCCCTTCGTCACAAGCGACGGGTTCGACGAGAACGATGACCGGTGCTTGTACCTAATAGCACCGTTAGTGGATCGGGAGGATCCGTAATACGACTGTTTACCATTCGGTCTACAGGATCGGGTAAATTGTCATGGTTAATACATCAAAACATTGACTCCAGAAAAATAAATAATAGTAAAAAAAAACTAAAAAACACGCTTTATATAAAATTCAACTAAAACGTGGTAACAAAAAAGTATGGGGGGCTTTTTAAGATATTATTAAAATAATAATTCTTCTACTTATATCTGTCAGAAAAATATAACTAATAATACCATGCACCCCACGCTTTTTACAATAAAATCTATATTTTTTTACACTATTTTCAATTTAAATTTATTAAAATTTATTTTCTATTTTTTAGTTGAATTTTATATAAACGTGTTTTTTAGTTTTTTTTTTAAATATTATTTTATTTTTTAGTTAATTTTTTTTGCAACATGAATAATGTAATAATCTTATTAAGTTCGTGTATTGTCATCGGTCCTCGATAAATCTACAAAGTTTGAATGAAAGCTGACCGTTTAAAGTGGGTCAAAATCGCGGTTAAAGGAGTCAGTTACAAACATATAAGTGAAGCTAATATAAAGCGTGTAAAAAGAAGCTACATTACAAAAGAACGTTGGCTACCCTCAGAATCAAAGTTATTCTTATTGTATGTACAGAAAATGGCCGCAACGCAAATAGTACGAAGGCCTTCGACCTGCGGCAGCACTAGGCGGATGTCAAGTACAGCGTGCTACGCGTAACGTTTCAGAGTTGCTAGACTATTGAAATTAGCAGATAGCTGTCGATAATAGATTTAAAAAAAACACGTGTGGCACTCGGGGACTGCCGCGATAAAGCTATTGCATAGCATTTTTTATCAACTTATGCAATTATAATTAGACAATAATAATTTAATATTAAAACAATAATAACATAAGACTACGCTATATTTATAAACATTAACAAAAGCAAAACATTAACTGTGCCCTTCACGCTCATAAACTAGACCGCGCGAGAGAGAGATGGGCAGACTTTTCATGATGCGCATGCAGTGCGACGTCACGCCGCGCGCTTATTCACAGCACTACACAAGCGCAACGTGTGAATGTGTTGAATGCGAGCTGCACGATAGGTGGAGTGGGGGTGTTATTTTCGTTACGGAATTTCTTGATTCGGTCGCCGCGCTAAAAGCTAAAAAAACCCTAAACCCTGTAAAAAATACGAGAGACTTATGTATATTTTTTGTTAGTTTTATTATTAATAAATTTCCCTTATTTTACCTACGTATATTTGTCGTTTGCACGTGTAATCGAGGTAACGCGTACATCAATGAGGCCTTTATCGGCTTTCTGAATTAATACACACACTCAGTTGGTGTGACAAACTAAATAAAAAGAAAAAAATTCGAAATGAAATCATGTGAAATGAATGAATCAAATAAAATGAATCACTAAAAAGAAGTATAAGCTTACTTACACAAACTTACTTACGTATTACGGGTGATTTAGCTTGTGAAAGAGAATACTTTTGAATGCATCACATCTACCACTTGTGAATTTCTTTTATTTATTTATTTTATTATTATTTGTGGTCATGGTTAACAAAGATTAATAAGTTAATATTGATAAATGTATCACTATGTCCTGCTAGTAAAGCGTACAAATATTAGGTGTAAGTATAATCTACATAAAAATTTCGTCTTTTTAAATTGCATGAATAAATTAATACTGCCAACAGTTTACTAAACAGTCTCCGGAGCTCATTGATATAACTTAATTCACCCAAATTCACAAAATCAACTAGCTCATCGCAACGCTTAGTTAGCTCGTTGCTGAAACTATTAGGATATTTTATTTTATGCTAATATCGCTATTACCATGTCAGAGTTAAGTGTTAGTTTATCGAATAAGGTCAAACAAACATATTGTCGAAATGAGGAAGAGAGAGGAAGCACATCGCTTCCCGGCGAGAGAGCGGCTTAGTCCTCTGCAGAGTTTAAAAAAGACTATAATCCACTGCGAATATAAAGTTTACTTAAAACAATATTAAGTTAAACATTAAAGAAAAAACGCACCTTAACTTTAATCCTTAATCATTAGTTGTTTTATAACTGACTTGTTGTTACTTGATATTGTATTAACATTTCTTCTTTTCTTTTTGATATGACATGACATTTATTAGACATTCTTAATAATATTTCAACAATTATTACTGTTTTACTTGTTAAATTTGAATTTCAAAGTATATTTTCATTAGGTATTCTTTTTTTATTATTATTATTGTATTCCATCTTCGAGCCGATGAATTTCCAATGTTATATACGCCATTGTTGTCACATGCATCAGGTAATAAATTAAATAGTTTAAATTATTTT